AAACTTAACAGCTTCAGTTTGTATAAAACATGAATACAAGTTGATGCTTTTGTACTGCTTACATTTGTTTTATCGAAGCATTTTTCTTCGCAAACAATTTTAAAATTAGTTCTGTTCTTCTATTCTGAATTGTGCAATCGACTAGAAATAGCAAAAGATGATATACAGATAGTCTGTACCATCTATTTTAAACACAAACTTTATACAATATGATCACAAAATGTTGGGCATGCAGCGCTGACAGTTGGATGGCCTTTTATACGAATAAATGTTTTCGGGACCAAAACACACATGAAGTTTTCCAGTTTCAGTTGAATACTTTAAAATAAAGAGATTGATCTGAACACTTGTTTGTATATCCTTATCAATCTGCATATCATTAATATCTCAATTTTTAAGGACTTAATTGTTTAGTTGTCGTTAATAAGGAGAATTTTTCTCAAAACTACCTAGTAATTGATTGTACACAACTTTTTATAGGATGAATATTCTGGTTTTTTCTTACTTCGAACATTGTATCACTTAAATCAATTTTGGTACTTACAAGTTTTCAGGATGTTCGGTAATAATAATGATCTACAGCGAACGGTACTGGATTCACGTCCCAGAGTGAACAAATAGAATGAAGTGAGAATCAAAATTCCACTGTTAGACACGATCTATTTCTGCTTAATAATTATGTTTACCTGAAAAGATTAAACGTTAAACATGGGTATTAAACCACCATGATTGGGAAATTATATATATATATATATATATATATATATATATATATATATTACATATTTAACAATAATGTAATTTGTCACTTATCTGACCTTCTGTAATTAAAATTTCTAGAGTTAGTCTTCACCACGAACTGGAATCATCTGGAAAGCTATTGTACATCAGAAAGTACCGGGAAACTCCCATAGTACGGACGCATAAGATCGGGTTTAGGACTGAAATCTTAAAACGTGACCAGTGTCACTTGATCATTTATCCGAAATCCAATGGTCCTATCCTACAAAAGGTAGTTTATGATAGAAAATACCTTCAGATTATGCAAGTTTGCATAAATTATTTAAGCAAAGGATGTTTTTTTACAATTTTATGGGTGTGGGTATATTGGGGACAGCCTAGGTTTTCAGTAACAAGCTGCCCGAAATTCGTTTGTTGAATTCAGTTTTTTCATCCCTTCTTTTTCATATTTATAGCAATGAATCGTTTATCGGAAGAAACGCATACATTTGCACAATCATTTATGACTGAACCATCATTATCATCTTGTCATCCACAAATTATATCACCCCGATTCGAAACAGCCCATTTTATTCAACCAACTGGTATTTATGAGCATGGATTAAACGATTGTTTCAGTCCGAATAAATTTATGGTAAATGATAATGTTTATCCAGGTATTTGGAATACTGTGAAGGAGAACGACAATAATCAAAGTTATCTGTCTACTGAAAACTCACTTGAGTAAGTTTTAAGTAACTGAGCTGTATCGATTTTTGTTTTAGCTCATTTAATTACGACCACTATTATTATATTCACTGAATGTTCACCGTATATCGATACGTTCACGTGTCCGGCTGGGGAATTATGAGCATTAAGTAAATGATGTAAACGTGGCTCATGGACAAGAAAGATCGTACCAACTGCATGATTAGTTATTTCCATGCACTGCGTCAAGGTGTCTGCCTGTCAAATTATTTCCCAAGGTTAATTATCTGATAGTACTTTGTTAGAAAGGAGCACAACATGCCAGCCAATAGCAATTAAGTTTGCTTACTGAATACGAATAACGTTTATTCTTACCTGTTTTTTTCTCACTACCGTCTACCTATTCTCAGGTAGATTTTAATTGAAAAAATGCATAACTATTATCTCTTGTAAGTAAAAAAATTGTTCGGTCGATTTGAGAGACTTAACAAGATCAAAGCCTTTCTGAAGATATATTTGTAGTATCCTGCCCCTTGAAAATGCTATTACTACGCTCAAATGACAGGAAATTTGTCATATACATAAATATATTCTGCTCTCACTAACGATGTGTTACTAAATTTCGTACTATAGAAAATTCTATATTTTGTCATTCATCGCCTTATTGCTATCAGTTCTGAGCGATGGAAGATAGTTTTCCTAAACTATACAGAAACTAATATTCATACTGAGTCCTGTCCCTTTAGTAGGTTTTCTTACATTTACACGCTGAAATTTCGCTAAAGGTCCAGGATTCATATTACTTGCACTGACCTTTTTCTCCTCGTTATTGGTTGCTATCTTCCAATGTCATTTTGTTTTATATATTCCACGGACAATCGCATACTGTAATTATGAACAAACTGTATCATAATTTTCTTCGTTTGTTAACGTAAGAAAAGGTTCATTCCTGAAAAATTAGTTTTCCTATTCTTACTGTCCACATAGGTCAGTTATGATTAAGGAATTGCTCTTATATCGCTAGAACAAATTCACAGAGTAAACGTTCAGTACCCACTTGACAAGTGTGGAAAACTGGTGTAGTATTAGTTTAACTGTTATGATTTTATGTCGGCTTTTGATCAGGTGACTTATCCACCAATCAAGATACGACTTATACAAATCTTCACACTATGACAAAACCAATGACGTTCAACCGGTTTGAATAGTCTAGCGTCCTATGTCCTTCTAACCCGTCCAGAACACAATACCAGTTTCTGTAATATGAATCGAATCATATCAACCAGACAGACCACAACGTACCATAAAATAGAAAATAACATGTGTACACAAATAAGCCAAAAAGTGGCTGTGAACGCGGGAGATAGTGATTAATAGACAGGTCATAACTCAAGAATAATAAATCGTATAGTGATAATCTATGGGTCAAGTTAAAGCTTATAATAAGTGGAATATAAATACACATAATGTAATTCTTGAATAATTATACAATAAGATTATTAGTTCATTAATAGTCCTCGGAAGTTACCGGTAATTTAATCTTCACTGGGATATAACAGTAACCATTACCACTGTACAAATGGTCAACACTGTAGCTGAACGTACGGGAAATAACATCTATCAGTTTCTATTGATTAGTACGAATAGCCAACTGATTTACGTACATTATTTCCTTTAAGACTAATGTGGCTCAAGCCGCTTTATTATCCATAAACACTGCTGTACTGGCATATTTATTCTCAATCATATAACGTATTTGGTTATCATTTTATTATCTGAATTTTAGAGACTGCCGTTTTTGCTTTATATTTACAGATATCTATCTTCAAATGATATTGTTGGACAGGGTTTTCTACAGTCTGATTATTCTTGTGATTACCATATAAACAAAATTACAGTTGAAAATGCTTTCAACACTACTTTACCAATTATCTGTTCACTAATTCAATGTAATGATGATAGAACAAATAGTTCTGCCGCATTGCAATCATCAATAATTTTTCCTACAAATACAGACAAATTAGATCAACTAGATACTCCTCTAATCACTCAGATATTTCTCAATGCTTTGCGTACAGCACATCGTCAGAATATTGATGAAACCAATCCATCGTATCATTATACTAATTCCACTGATATACATATTGCAAATTCAACTGTTAACTCGTCATCCGAAAATACTATTTTCGATTACGATACAAATGATGATGATAATGACACAATGAGAATCAATTGCAATCCACATGATAGTTGTCGAACAACTTTTTATGAATTATTACGAATTACTGAAAGTAGACGTTTATCTGTATTAAACTATGAAGCCCAAATGCACAGTTCTATTGAAGAAAAGATGGAAATAAAAGAAGAGTATTTCGATTTAGTACCAAATCCTTTGAAGAACGAAGGACTTAGTAACGACCAAATAACCCCCAAAGAGTTGTGTAGTTATTCTTCATGGAAATCTGTTATAGATATACCACAATCGGAATTGCTTCATGAATTAGGAGTAAGTTGATACAAAGTGTAAATACATTATATTTTGTACTTAATAACAACACTATGATTCAATTGTACATTTTCGTTTTATTCATTACTATCGCTAATACTGACTAACTTTGAATTCACCACCGTTTCATCACACTATATCTCCCTGAAGGATGGCCTGTGGAATCATTGACTGGCAGTTTGACACATATTGGGAGGCGCAGAAATTCTGATAGTGGTTAGCAGAACAATCGCTACTTATGATTGAAAAAATCCTGTTTCTCATCTAACCCTTTTCTGGGTTTGCAGATTGTTTGACTTCACTAACCCAAAGATAATAAATATCCTTTGATACAGTATCGGGTGATGCTAATTCCGAGTCTCTAACAATAAATTACTTTTAGTTTCAGAAGTGTCGGAGCACATAGACCATAGATCTGAATACTTCCAGTTACATTTGAGCCATGTTCTAGAATTTAAAAAAATAAGCATTAACACCATCCTAATCAGTATCATATTGATCTGTGTCGATTATAAAAATATGAATTGATTTCTTTGAACAGATTGTCAACCTTTGAATCACGAATTCAATTTACTGTTATTTGTGGTTTTGTTGTAAAATAAGAGAAATTCTTAATTTCACCAATATGATTGCTTGTTGTGTAAAATATGAGCAACATTTCAATGGTTTACTGTTTTTGCTTTTAGCTATCAGAAACCACATCTGAACAGTTTAATTTTGTATCAACTGGTCTTATGAATTATGAGAATACGTTCAACGAATCATCTGCTATTGCTCCATGGACATATATTTTCGAAAAAGTAATCAAAAGGATAAATGATATAGACGATAATCAAGATTCTTCGTTAAATTGCGAAAATAAGTTGGATAAACCTTCCTCTTCTCTTTCTACTACGATTACCCCCACTGATATGATTGAATAAATTAAGATAAGTAAAACAGAAATTCCAAGTTTGAGTGTACAGGACACAGGGAAGGAGGTGTATTGTTTTTCAATGATGTTATGATTGAAACATTCTCTTCTTTTTTTAGAGATTTATTTTTGTTATTTATTCATATTTTTCTTGTCCTTCGAGAGCTTATTCTTTAACATGTTACAATTAGTTTTTTTCGCCGTACTTTCTTTGTTTCCTCTCCCTCTAGTTTTACATCTTGTTTTGCTTTTGAAAATGATATATGGGCATCCAGTGTACTGAAGCTTATATTTATACATCATATATATAGACGTATATATCAGAGATAGAAAAGTATATAATCTGTCAGAGATAGTCCCTTTTAAAGTTTTGGGACAATGTTGGATGATAAATTTATGCATCCACACTTTGGTGAGCGTAGGTGAAAACCAAATTTTTGTTAATTTATAAGTAAATCAAACTAACTGATTCTTCAACTTTTATTAGTTGGTAATGGTGAGACTAATTTACGGACGACTTTTGAGCGACGCCCCAGTGACCTTGAGAACATCCACTTAATAGGGCTAAATGATGGTTGTGAAGCGGTTTGAAAAGTAAGGATTATGATTTACAGCTGATGGTTAGGGTTAAGAATCAGATTCATGGTTTTCATCACAAACTGACATCAGCTAAAACGCCATTAAGACAAATGAGTGAATGAATTCCGCTCCAACATCCAAGATCTAGTTGGTTCGTCCATAAATTATAATCTCGCCGTTGGTAATCTTGTGATCTAAATAATATTTCCAAACTTTACAAATGACTACTCTCTTTCTCAAAACTAAGAATATATTTATTGATATCTACTACAATTGCTGAAAATATGACAATGTTCCTGACAATAAGTACTCGCACCAACGTAGAGACGTTTTAAAACCAAATCTATGGACTATTGTTTCTTTTGTCTTACAAAAAACTCATGTTGATGAATGCTACGTGATATAATTCGATAATTTTGCATCATATAAATTAAAATTGAATAAACAAACCTACTCCGACTAATTGTATTAGCCAGTAAGCTATAACTGCTAGGGGAGGCACACAATTTTATCACAAATGAAGACGATCAAAACGATTGGCTAGTAGATCCAAATTACAATAGAAAAATTAGACGAGGAAAGTCTAGATAAGAAGTATAGAAATTTTCAGTCTCATTGGATTGACGGTTTCGCGTGAAGTCAATTCGACGGCTTTATTGAGTAACTGTTCCACTACTGGCCTTGTTGGCTCCTCAGGTCACGAGAATTTCGAGAAATCTATCTTTAAACTAGTCAGTGATTATCATAAAGTCGTTATTGAATTACATAATTATGTTTCAGAAATAACATGGGAATAATCCGTTTTAATATTTATCAAAGAATATTCAACTGTTCTACTTGAGAAAACTAATTAACTATTTACGAATATACTGGTTTATTTCTCAAAATTTGCGAGCATAGTTATTTGCATACACATAACATTGATGCATTAATGATGTTTGAACACTTATTATTTAGAGAATACCTAGTAATCAGAGTTCGCCCAAATGTGTGATATGAAAGAAAATTCGATTAATTGGATTCTAAGGTAGCTCATTTTGATTGAAGTAACTGAATAGATACTTACCTAAGGAAACAGTCCCTAAGTGAATGAATTTTTGACTATACCAATAGTGAAATAAAACACCTTTTTGTATTGATAATATTTAATCAAGAGATTAAAATTACATGCCTATGAGATTTTTTGGTATAATTTTCACAGTGAATAATATTTCTGAAAGCAGTGTAACTAAGACGACCTTTTTAACAATAAATATACAAATTGTTTGTAGTAAGTGAATAATCAGAGACAAAAGAAATAAGATTACTGGAAATGATGAGTAGGAGTAATGAAAAGCAATATTTTTACATCAGAAATGTGTTATTACAATAATTACACTCGATCGTTGCAAGGATCGATTTACATGATCAATGTATAAACTTTTTCAAAAAATCATCGTTGAACTAATTTGAAGACTAGCAAACTGATGAAATGTAATGTTCGATATTTTTGTGAAAACCTTTAATATCGTTTCTGATCTTCAGTTAACAATATCCTCCACCTAACTTAATTTCTGACAGACAGATGTCCTTGGTTTAAGCTGTCAAACTCGATTGGCTTGACGGGAATAAAGCAACAGAAGAGATCGAAGTAATGAAGTAACATTCATGATAAGGAAGATTGAGTGTAGGGAATATGGTTTAAAAATACAATAGGAAGGTATGCACGAAGGAATACCGGAATTAATAACCCAGAAGATAGAGCGTGGATGAATCTGCGCCAGTGTGAACGATCCTGAGCCATTTTGCCAGTTATCACACAGACTCCAACCAGGTGGTCTGTATTTATCAACATGGATTAGACCAATAAGCAATGACCTCACGAACTGATGGCACTCTTTATTCTGACCACTCTTATCTTTCTTAACCTACCTCTGCACTACCAAGTACCGCTTTTCGATGTAAGGGGTGGCTAAGCATCCACATAGAGGTTGCCGTCTCACAACAGAAGGACGAATTCGAAAAGATAAATCCTAGAAGTAGCATACTTTACCTTACGATACGGATTTCCGTCTCTGTTGGCAAGGGCTTTCAAAGTACGAAGCTATCTCCCCACAAAAAGGCTGTGTGACCTACCCCAAGGAGTTGTCTCTTGGGTTGTGTGGCCACGCTCTCAGATCACAACTAATACAGTTTCCAGGTAAACCAAGGAAAATGTCTTCATGGTGTGAGCAAACGGGAAGTGACAGCTGCCTTCATAACTATACAAGAACATCTAATCTCTGAAACAACAGTCAAGAAGTACGCATTGACATATAGATATATATATTGAGGATACACATTACTTCAACTATCCAGTTAGAATAGTATAAAAACATCGCTTGAAATCCACATCATAACAAAGTACAAAAGTGTTGATATATTTAACCTTGGTTTATCGTCAACTGAAATTTTTACTCCGTTCACAAGTATTGGCTTCTTCAATTCCTTCCCCAAGAAGGTTGATCTAATTAAAATATTATCAGTTAGGTTACAAACACTGAATTTTCTAATACCTCTTCCATGACTTTTTCTGGATATTTGACTTTGTACAATGTAGCATTAGTAAAACAATGTGAAAGACACTCCAAGCGTTCAGGGTGTAATTTATTAAAATTCTTTTCCAAAAACGATCGCCTTACGCGCCATTCAGTTGGAGTTTCATGAGTTCTTTTCCAACTTTCCAATTCCTCCATAGGTAGCTTACTGAATCCAAGTGACAGTCTAAATGGAAGTATAGAAATTAAACAGATTTCCATGGGATTGCTAAATTACTTATCAAACTGTTAAAAGTAATATACGGAATCGGTTTTGGCGAATCTGAACTGATGTATATAGGTGCCCACTTTATGTTATTTATAAGTGACTGATTGAATAAATTGTCACCTTTTCTTCTGAAACCGATTGAAAGTGATCACCATCGACCTTGTCTGGTATCAATATAAAAACTAGGAATCTAAGATCTAGAGAAGAGAACAATAATAGTAGGTTCCTGCCTCAGAACCCATTTCCACCTGTAGACCTCCTAGGGTTACTGTCGGTCTCAAGCCCGGATAGGGGAGTATGGTAGGGCATGGGGTCAGTAACCCCATCCCGTGGAAAACAACCTAGTTTAAAAAACGCTAACCAGAATAAATCATTTAAGCCCTGCCCTGGAGGTTTGAAGGATCTTCATTTGCATCAACTATAATACCTCATGGTAAAAGCCATGATTCTTCGGAAGTCACGAGGCTGATATCTCTTCTAACAACTAGAGCAAAAATTAATATAGGTACATGAAATGTTCGGCCAATGTGAGAGATCAGAAAGAACAATCAAGTAGCTGCGGAAATGTGGAGATACAACTTGGCGGTGTTAGGAATCAGTGAAATCCATTGAACCAAGCTGGACAGAAGAGATTAAATTCGGTAGAGGCGGTGCTGTACTGTGATCATGAACAAGAAAATGCTTCGCATACACAAGGAGTTGCACTGATGCTATCCAATGAAGCACGAAAAACGCTTATAGGAACCCTCAAAAAAAGGAGTGATGGGTGACCTAAACGCCAAAGTCGGAATGGACAACACCGGGTATGAATATATCTTGGGACGAGATGGACTGACTAGGAGAAAGGGACGAGAATGATGATAGTCAGTCAGTTACAACGTAGGACCAGGCACATACATGCATCGGTCCAAGTTGCCATACCTCATTAGCACAGCAAGACGAACACCGGACTCATAGAAGCCGTTAACTCAATGGTGTAATATATAAAGGAAAGATTTTATGCAAGGTTATAGTACAGAAAGAAAGACATGAAATAATTTTAATTGCATAGTTTAAGGGAAGACAAAGAGTATATGCACCTACGCTATTGTGATCGATTCTGAGCCATGTCACCAAGAGTCTCCAACCATTGGTAACGATAGTCGCGCGGACCCCAACCAAGTAGTCTGCATCTACCAACATGGCTAAAACTAGAAGTTAGTGACTTCAAGCACTGATGCCAAGTTTTAGTTTGGCCGCCCCTAACTTTCTTCCAACCATTCCCAACACTAGTCAGCATTGCGCGTCGTGGTAATCGATGTTCGGGCATACGTAACATGTGGCCCAACCATCTCGGTCGATGATACTCGCTTCACCGGTACATATACTAAAATTGGAACGATACAGAGAAGATTAGCATGACCCCTACGCAAGGATGACACGCAAAATCGTGAAGCATTCCATAATTTTTGCCCCCAAATGCCCTGGAACGGTCGAGAGTGAGGAGTCCGCTCCCCCTCTCGAAATGCTCTCACATGGCCACGCGTATATAGCCTCTGCCAGGGAAGTCCTATTTACTGCCTTCTCGTGGCAGGGGTGTTGTTCACGAGATCGAGAGGACGAAAAGCGAATGTCCGGCGCTTTAACCAGGTTGGTGGACACGGAGAGTCCACCTAGGGGAGTTGGAAAACCCTGACTCCAAACCACTGATGCATATGGGCTCCAGTATCCTGGGAGGACGAATGGCGTATGAACCAATCGTTGGTCACCGGTTACCATGGGACTGCATCTCCTTACGATGCTCCACTTCCTTGTGGATCAGACCTTTAGGTCGAAGGTTCGGGGTGTGTCCTTTTATTGATAGACGGATATCTCACCTTCGCCATAGGTGACGTAAGTTGGCAAAGCCCCCAAATGCCCTGGTACGGCCGAGAGTGGGGAGAGTCCGCTCTCCTCGAAATGCTCTCACATGGCCACGCGTACATAGCCCCTGCTAGGGAAGTCCTACTCACTGCCTTCTCGTGGCGGGGGTGTTGTTTACGAAAATGAGAGGACTAAAAGCGAATGTCCGGCGCTATAACCGGATCCCAAACCAATGGTGCACATGGGCTCCAGTATCCTGAAGGAACAAATGGCGTATGAACCAATCGTTGGTCACCGGCTACCATGGGACTGCATCTCCTCACGATGCTCCACTGCCTTGTGGATCAGACGTTCAGGTCAAAGGCTCGGGGTGTGGCCCCCTAAGAAAACCACCTGCTTCGGTTTGGGCACCCGAGCAGTATCACAGCCCTCACACAAATCAATCGAGATTCGTGTGGCGCATATGTATTTGGTGCCTCCTTGTACCAATACCTATGTGTTAAAATAAATAAATAAATAAAAAGGCCAAACGAGCTTTTCGAATCCGTGCTGAGATCTCGTCAGACATCAACCCATTAGGGTTGATCAAACTTCCAAGATAAGTGAAGTTGTCAGCGCCTTCGACTACTTCACTCCCTATCTTTAGTTCAGGTGATGACGCAGGCCAGTCCTGAAGCAATAACTTGCATTTAGGGGGAAGAAGCGCATTCCAAACATTCTGGCATTGTTGCTAAGTGATATCAAAACACTCTGCATTTTATCAAAGTCTTCACCAAACAGAACTATGTCATCTGCGTATTTTAAGCCGATAAGTGGACCTCCTGGTATGAGATCAATGCCCGAAAATCCAGTCGATGAGAGCGTTATTTCCATCAGTATGTCTATGATGACGTTGAACAAAAATGGAGAAAGTGGACAGCCTTGACGGACGCCACTTGAGGTTGCAAAAGCAGATGACAGTTCTCTATAGTCTCTGACTCGACTGGCAGTGTTCAAATAAAGAGCCTTCCAAACACCTTGAATGAGACTAGTATTTAAGATGCTATATTAGTCAAACTAACCCATCTATGGTTGACACAGGATGATTTTGACCCCTTCTTATATATTAGGACAGTAAGTGATCGCGACCAGTCAGATGGGATTACGTCCAACTCCCAGATTTTAGCTAAAACATTAGTCAACCTAATCGCTAAAATTGGACCACCATCCTTAAAGACCTCTGGAGCCAACTCATCTGGACCAGCTGCTCTTCCTCGTTTCAGATTAGCTATAGCCTTTTGAACTTCAGCTAGAGTTGGTGGACCTACTTCAATGTTTCATTCACGCTGTCTGGGAATGGTGGGTAGTTTTAGAGTAGCTGAAGGTCAGTTAAACTGTTCTCTAAAGTGTTCCGCCCATCGTTCTAAACGTCTGGACTGGGAGCAAATAAGTGTCGTCTTCTTCCGAGATAGTCTCACTTACATTTGACTTTTTAGCTCGTTTCTTTTATGAGTCTGAAGAGCTGTTTCGTGTTCCATATAGCCGCCTCCTTTTCCATCTCCTGTGCTTTCGTTGCCCACCACTGCTCACAGTCGTTCCTTACACTTTTGCTTAACATAGATCTGATTTGTTTTCGCTCTTCATCATGTTCAGAGCCTAATGGGATGAGTTCACGAGAATCCATCAGTGCAACAGACCTTGAAAGAATCCATTGGTTTAAATCACTAATAGATGTCACTGCTGTTTCCGCAGCTGCTTGTATATCTTTCCAAGCAACATCTTGGTCAGACTCGTTTTCAGAACCACCTAAGTGTGACCTCAGTTGTTCCTGGAATCTACTTTTGGTTTTCTCGTTACTCAGTTCAAATCTAATGGGTCTTTTTAATGTGGCCTTTTCGCGTCCACTGAGGCGCAAGCAGGTGCATGCCTGTATTAGAGCAGCAGACGATCACCATTATCTGTTCTCTGAACCGGAATACTAAAATACCCACATAAATGTCTTTCTGTTTCGCTTAGGCTACCTATCTGAGCATTAAAGTCACCTGATACGAGTACTATGTCTGAGGTTTTAGCTTTCTTAAGAAGTTCAGAAAGCTTTCTGTGAAAGTCATCTTTTACTTCATCCGAGCTACAGTCAGTGGGAGTGTAGGCAGGAACGACAAAAAGGCAACGAAGTGTTTCCCTATCCTTCCGAGTTTTTACAGAGCTGTTTAGCCGAACAGTACATAGACGACCGTTAACAGAGATCCACTCTAATAGCGCTTGTTCCGCCCTCATGCTTAGTGCTATGCCTACACCTGCCAAGCCACGAGAACTAGCCATTGGGTCGCCAGATACACGGAGGGTGTATCTCGTCGGCTCTCCGTTTTGCCGAGGTGAGGTCAAGAGAATGACCACACTAGGATCCTGTATGCGTGTTTCGGTGACACAGCATACAACAATGGTACGAGATTCTAGAGTCTCAGCCAAGGAGACCTGCTGGCCGGTTTGACAGAGTGTGCGTACGTTGAAGGCTCCAATGTGTAGTTTGGAGCGAGGTTTCAGTAGACCTGGGACAGTGTTTTGCTCACTAGAATCGTTGGTTGTGGTGATACTTGAGGAAGAAGCCGAAAGAGGAAGTTTAGATTCGAAAGTCGATGTAGGAGGGATGAAGAGGAAGGTTGATTATGAATATAGTAGTCTTGAGTGCTGTTAAAGGTATGAGGGCAGTTATCACTTCCCGGTCGCCCACACCGTGGAAGGGTTCTTCTAGAGGTGTTTGAAAAGGAACTTGGATTAGAGGTGGTCTTAGTGACCTGATAGCGTGACCGCAGTGCCCAAGGGAAAACTGCTTGACATCGGTCACACACGACTTTGTTGTGAGCAATTTTCGTGTTGGCTCCGTACTTGTTGAGACCTTAACGCCAGAGACGGACATCCGTGGGATAAGGCGAGGTGTGCATTTTCAGGGTCGACCCTTTTTAACCCCACCTCTCCTTGTGGGAAGGCAGCATCTCTGTCATGCGGGTTGTTTGAAGGAAACACCTTACTGCTGTCACACCTCAGTACAGTCAGCAGTACGACTTCGCCTTTGGACCTTGGGTTTGCTGTTTGTAGCCTTACAGCTCTTCAACCGACCTGTCTGGCATGGTAGGACCTTGAAGAACGGTTGATCCAGTCAGTATAGGTCGACTGCTTCATCACGATAGGCAAGCCCGACCACCACTTCAAGGTAGCAACAACGGTCGGGCACAATTGGTTTGGAATCAGGGTTTTCCGACTCCCCTAGGTTTCTTCGTGTCTACTAACCCGGTTAAAGTGCCGAACATTCTCTTTTCGTCCTCTCAGTTTCGTAAACAACACCTTCGCCACGAGAAGGCTGTGAATAAGACTTCCCTGGTAGTAACTGTATAAGCGTGGCCGTATGAGAGCGTTCCGAGAGGGAGAGCGAACTAACCCCACCCTCGACCGTACCAGGGCGTTTGGTAACGACGTCATAATTTTTGTCCTAGAGCATCAGCACATCGATAGTTGACTGATTTACAACATGGAGTCTATAAAGGGATAGACTATGCCCTTAACAAGTGGAAGACTCATATTTTGCCAATTAACAGCCCAAACAAACAAGCTGTGGGAAATTTCTGAGAACATGTTTATGAGACTTAGTAACTACGGGTTCATGTATCCCCATTTATTCTTGAAGATCTTAAAGGTAGAAAATAGGAGAACACCAAACATTACAGTGCCTGTACCTAGTGATTCCCTTTTTGGGTAAAAGTATAGTATGTTGACGGCTTTGAATGACTTGTCAGTCAACCAGGAAACGTTACAAAATCAAAGACCAATTAGCAATAAAAAGAAATGAAAAGACAACGAAGTAACAACTTTGATCTGAATAATTAACCTTCACATTCCAAGCTAGTCTTCATATTGAAAGAAAACAGTCAAGCTCACACACTAGGACTCGAACTAGCACCACCACATGAGGTTATCACCCCTCGAGTGCTTTTGTTGCATGACCTCGGTCGCAATATAAAAAGGTTTGTTAGGTATTGAAAATGACTCGAATTTTGACGCGAAATCCATCTGTAAGTTTGGCTAAATAGAGTTTTGGTATTACAGATGTCAGTTCGTGATGAAAAACTTAAATCTAATTTTTAACCCTAACCATCAAGTGTAAATGAGAATTCTAGCTGCTTTATAACCCTCATTTGGTCCTATAGGACACCTACTGATTATAATCAGTAGGTGTGCACCCTCAGGGTCACTTCAACGTCGCTCAAATGTCGTCCATAAATTATAGTCTCACAATCAGTGGGATAAACTAAACAAATATACCATATTTGTGAAATGACAATTAAAACTTACACCGTCTTGTATGAAGAAGTTCAGGGAAAGCTGCCCGCCTTTCCGTTTCAACGACCTTGAGCAATCATTCCGTATTTCAAATGCTGTGTGTTTATCGATTTGCACGAATATCATGTGTTCTCACGTTTAGATGGTCTTTTACTGCAGCGAAACCACAAAATCTTTGCGACAAACATTGATTTATCTCTCTGTCTTGTTAAACACACGAACATGTGCCCCGTTACTTCTCGATTTCCCCATTTTGAGGAAAATTTTGTCTGATTTGGTTAAGTTTTGGTCGAGAGCACACAAATCCATTAATTGATCGGTTTCCCTGCATGAGTATTCTATCACAAATTGTCACCGAATTTATCTATTTAATGATCTCACTTAGGTACTAGATTATCTGTTAACCCATGTAGTGGTAAATAGATCCCCAAAACAGGTAGTTCTGTAAGTCTTTGACATTCCATTCTGACCTCATTATTTCTACTAGATACACGCGGTCACGTTTCCGCACCAGATCATGAGTGGAAGGGCTGTCCTGCGTATAGCTTACAACTGTTAGCCGGCTTAAGCTGAACGTCTTCAAATGCATCGATAGTCTCCCAAATATATTTTTGAGCCACTTAATTTTTGGCTTCTGAGTTGATTGGGTTGACATACTTCGATTATAAAGGTATTGCGTGCAAAGGTGTTATTATTATTCAAAAACATCTTATGGGTACATAAGTGTTGTGAAGAAACCATTTCGGGTTTCTTCGAAAATGCAATAATACACGAGTCTCAACAACGTTAGCATTATAATTGCCATATTTGAAAAAAGAAAGCAATAATAATAAAATAATAATAAATCAGGTTCTGTGTAAAAGACAATTACCACTCAAAGACTCTGTCATATGCCGTTTTAATAAAAAGGTTATTGACCAGACCTACTACTTGATGGGACTGTAATTTATGGATGACGTTCAAGCGACACCAAAGCTACCTTCAGAATTTCCACCGACTTACTGGGATTACGGGAGGGTTATGAATAACGTGAGGAATTACTAGGCTCAAAGAGGATTATAGGTTAGGATTTGGAGTTAGAATTCCAGATCAGCAATCGGAGTTAGGGCCTTCATCGCCAACTGATATCAGCTGTAAAGCCAAAGTTCTATTTGACAACATGGATGAGTGAAGTTTGTTCCATATTCAAAGACTCATTATCCCCAATTTCATTGGCTTGTCCATAAATTTCAATCTCGCTACTAGGCCAATAATCGAATAATAAAATTACAGACTTAAGGTGATGTGGTCGATTAATCCATGTGATTTTATGTCGAAGTCACATCATTTTCTATCCTAAATCATTCCCGTTCCGTAACGGTTTGATGAGGGACAAGTGGAGGTCTACCGAAACAACAAAATATTGAATATAAAACGAAGGATTTAGATTAAACACACCGACATTGCCGAGTTATGTAGTTTCGACGATGCCCTCGTGCCTGATCCTATTGACCTTCGTTACTGTTTCTTATCAACCATCAACGTTCCGTGATCTGCCGTCCAACACAGAGACAGTTCAGCTTGTAGATGACTTACGGTAAGGTTCCACTGTTGTTACACTATCATGACATGTTCACTATCCGCACCTTTTCAACCAGTTCTCCCTGAAAAACAATGTTGCTGCTGTAAGCTCTTATTTGTTCGTGAATTGCAGGTTGGAAGCGGGATGTCATGGTCTTCTCCTTGAGGTGGGTCAGGCCAGGCAATTTCTCTGTGTTGTAACGTTTGTGTATGATCTCCGCAATTAAATGCAGAGGAATAGGACTAAGCTGGTAATTTTATGTCAAAACGGAAAATTATAATTTGATTTACAACGGTATTGAATAATCCTAATGTTGATATTTATGGAGGAATTTCAGTCATTCTTGTTTGGCATGTGTGTCATATGAAGATCACCTGAACCTGATCGTTTTGTCATAATTTTTATTAAATTCTATTCACACTCATTGTACAGGTGAGTAGCAGTATAGATTTGACAGCCAAGTGGATAACGCGTTTTACGTTTAAAGTGAAAGGTATGGTATTTGAAACCTGGGATGAACGTTGACTCCTAGGTTCTGGTATATCCAGATGATGAATATCAACTGAGGAGAGATAGGGTGTTACGACCTTGGTTTGTCTACCCACTTTTGGTGCCGAGGATACTTGTCTAATCTAGATTTAGACTTTGATGCGATAAGCTGATTGGCTTAACCTTGAGACTAGTACGCGTGAGTTCGAGATGGGGTAGAGAGAAGAAAACCATTCTGTCAGCTGATTGGTGGATAAGCGCACGAATGAGAGAAGACAAGACGATTTGGAACACTACTCGATGTATTCCTGATTTCTCTGACTTCCTGATTCAACTGATTTCACTGAATTCAGATTAGTGTAAAAAAGTACATGAATAAATAAGTGAATAACCCAACCGCAACGTACAATAATTAGGAAAAATACAATTATGTCCAAAGCTGGGAATTAGAGTGGAAAATAGGGTGCAAAATAATGTGTTTAAATTACAATAGATTCGGAACAGAAAAAAGTATGGCAATGAATGATATATCGAACGAAAGTTATGTTCTGTAGAATGGAATAGTGACAAAAATAAGTGCCAGTGTTTTACAAGCTTTGAATAAAATGAAATAACGTCCCCAAAGATAGGTTTCGTAGTTTGTCAGGGCTTCTTGTTTCCCGGTTCACATCACAGGGGCTCTCGACTATACTACTGCCCACAGTCCCTCATTTCTGAAAACATTGGAGCTGAAGGTTGGAGTTATTTATGCCAAGAATTGTATTTCTTATCTGTATTTATTGAATGATGAGTTGTTCGTATATTCCAGAAATCTACTCGTAATTGACTCGTTTCCGTGATGCATAATGAACATTCCAAATGGATTCTTAAAACCTTTTTCGACTTCCTGCCATCGATGAGGTGAAGATTATTCTTGACACTAGTAAGGTCTTGTTTCAAAGAAAACATGCCTTGTTATGTACTCATTAATAAAACAGCCTTCTGAGAGTGCTGGCACACGCAAACTTCAAATAGACAAGCAAATTATATACACACACACTCAGCAGCTTACAAGGGCGGATAGGTTTTCTTGTAGTGGGCCTTATTGCCTCATTTCTTATCAATTGAAGATTCCACAGGTTTCCGGAGTTTGACAACGCCTTAAGCAGTAACACCTAATATGAATCGTACCCACCAAGTGAAATTGAAGGACAGAAGCGAGAAGGTTAGAAGATCTAATCTGGCTAGCGATTGCAGTGGATGTTGATCACGGCATTCCCACACGTGATCTGGCGTGGATGCATGACCGAGCGCCTTCAGCTAGATGAGTTCATTATAACTAATGTGGTCAGCGTACAATGTCGAAAACTTACAGAGTATTGATTTTATAGACTTATTTGCCGCCACAGATCACTCCCCCTTAGTGGGGTAGTGATGACCCTAAGACGTGGTCAACCAGAAGTTTAAACCCAAGGAGTATGTCGTTGGTAAACACTGTTCTGATAGCTCGCTAAGTTTAGCAGCGTCTGGTCGTCATTTCTTACTATAAGGGATAATGAAGTACAATAAAGTGAAAGGAGAAAAATTACAATGAAAATTTCCGTTTCTCGTAAACTTCATCGTTCTTTTTATCATCTTTTCCAGCCGTCCTGGAAAAGAAAAAAATATGTAAGTGCATATCGAAATATACTCTTACGCGCGTAAAATCACAAAGCGGGCGGAGAATGGAAAATGAACTCATGCTCACATAATAACGTAAAAAAGGATTTTTATAAGATGGTTTTTTTTCTGAAATAAAAATAAAAATACATAAGCATATTAAAATTGGTTTTTCCATCACATGCAGTACAAAGAAAAATCGAGATGATATAAAATGTAAACTAGTATCTTACGTGCAATAATCATTCAAATGTTCTGGAATCCTTACTCTTCTTGCAGAACGCGTTATCTTAAGTTTATTTTCCGATACCCGTTTGCTTGTGGGTATTAGGCGGTCATTCGGAAGCGAGTGTTTTCTAATAGTGTGGTCAGACAACGGAAAAGTCCGGATTCGAACTGGCGTCCACGATCTGCAGTGATGGTTGAAGGGCAGCGGAAGTTTGCTACCCATCGTACGACGAAGGCGCGGACCACTGTTTCACAAGTAATTTCCATGATGGGTACTGCTTTTGGCCATCGAGTGAAACGGTCTACGCAGGTTAGAAGATAATAGTATCCACTTGAATTTGGTAAAGGTCCTACCAAATACATATGAACATGGTTGAATCGAGCATCAGGAATTTTGAACGAGCCTAGGTAACATTTAATGTGTCCAACCACCTTAGATGGGTGGCGTTACTGACCAGCAAACATGATGGCGGGGAGATAACTTTAATCCACCAATGTCTGTAGGGCAAAACATTTTGTTAAATTACAGCTCCTTAGGGTCTAGTGGAATGTCAGGAACTAGTGGCATTGATGCTCATTTATCATACAAAATACCTCATTAAATCGTGTTTGGAACTTTAAATTGGTCTTACTTCCTACCCAATAATCCTATTACAAGCAAACTAGACAATTCGCTATAAAAAGAATGAAGCCTATTCTAGACCCTATAAAATCTAAAAAAGCTCCAATAGCATCGACAAAAAAAGGGAGACAGCCATTTTTGTATCACAACACTGTTTTTAGCACTATATTTTATAACTACATATTCTCATACTTTCAGTTTCTTTCTGAACCACCTCTATTTGTCAGTTGATTATCCACTCACACCTTGTTTACATTTATTTTCTTTAACTTATTAGGATGCTCCTGTTTACCAAATAATTTAATAAAAGAGAATCATACTGAGTAGTCATACCTTAACTATTTCTTCATGGACACTGTCTGCTCTGCTTCTCGTCCTTTCTTGTTTTCTTTTGTTTCCTGCACCATTTTTCAGCCCCCTTGAGATACGGAACGGGTGACCTCGTCCTGTACCATCCTTAAAGCCTCAAATATTCCAAAGGGATTTAAGATTGCGATTTCTAGAAGCCCTCAACTGCACATGA